CTTCTACTCTGTTTTTTTTTCTGTGCTATATTTGAGTGGCCTATATCAGATTTCTGAGTATTTTCATCATTTTGATTAACAGGCAGCAAATTCTCTGATTGTTGTGTTGTATTGTCTTCTTTGTTATTAATAGTGATTTCTTTTTCTATAGTAATCTGTATGTCAGTAACATACGGATTATTCACACTATATTCAGATGATTTTAAGGTTGATTTAGATTTTTGTGCTTCTTGAATTCTACATTCTCTTTGCAGTTGCCAAAGTTCAATTGATGCTTTAAGTTCTGCACAATCTTGCTTAATATGTTCTGTTTTATCACAGTAAAAGCAGAGCTTTGGGGCTTCTTTCCACTCTGTTATTACTTTCTGATCCCATATGTGTGTATGTTGGGGAATTCTTTCTGCAACATTTGGGTTATCTGTTGTTTTGAAACTAATTGTCTATTGATTCAAACACACTGGTGTTCCTTCATAAATCAGAGGTTTGATCAAGAAAATGTTTTCAATATCTTTAAATACTTCTTTAATTTGCTCTGAAATAGCATCTTTCTTCCACATTGGTACATTTCGTAACTTAACATGCAAAAAACTACGTCTAAGATTCACTGGGATATACCCAAGTAAGGTTTGTCTAAAAATAACAATACCTTCTACGACATAATACTGTTGTTTCTCTTTGTTCATAAGAATTACTTCAAGGTGTGTATGTTTTCCTTTCATGAAATGAGGTTTTGCTGCAACTAAATCATCTCCCATTTTCGCATACAATACATTTACAATGTCATTAATAGAAACATTCTCTAGATTCTGAATGTCAATATAAGTGCATTTATATTCTTCATATGGATCTTGATCCTAGAAGCAAAGGCAAAGAATGTGGCTTTGCCATTTTTAAGTTTGGTGAATAAGCTAGACCATTTTTGAGCCTCTGGTTGCTTATTTTCTTCATTGGTTTGAGACAGGTCACCTGTCTTTGAAATTTTTGGTGTATATAGATCATTCGATTTATCTAAGGTTTTTCTAGAATGTTCTATAACTTGATCTGACAAATTATCTGTCTTTTCTAAAGAGCTTGATGCCGTGTCTGTTAAGTCTTCACTTACTGAAAACTCCTTTTCAGTATCTTCAGACCAGTCTGTAGAGAGGTTACTATGTAGAGCTTGAGCTAGTTCATGCTTCTGGCTCGCTTCTAAGCATGTTGAGGTTATTTCTAGTTTTTTCGCATTCTTCTCTATATCTTTGCTTTTATTCCTAGTATCATGAACTTTGATTCATTTTTATTTCTTTTTGTCCATAATTGTTTCAATAATCTTTCTTTTCTCTTGTGTGAGGACTTTTGCCCTTGTTATAGTGTTTGAATTACTTTTAGGCTCAGCTTTATACAGTATTGTGTTTTTTTAGCAGCCACCCAGTAACCGGATGGCAGTAGAGCATCGATCTGTGATTTTTTGTTCTCAAATTTTTAACGACACCATTATTAATATATCTTCATTAAAGCTCAAAAAAAAACATAAACAATGTTAGAATAAAAATTAATTACAGTCATACCTCTTTATAATCGCCTCCTATATAATCACATCATATAAAAACCTTTTTATAATCACACCTATATT